AGCTTCCACCCTGGGTCTGAACCAATCATTTCTGTGTTGAAATCTACCAGCTGGATGCAGTGGGACGTTTCTTCTGGCATTTTCACAATTAGGAAAGGGAGGAATAAGTTACTGATGCGCACAATGGGAGACAGAGTATCCAGGCGGTCACATGGTGTTCCCAAGGCTTTCTGCTTCAGAGACGAAGATTCTAAAAGACACTTAATTCACGCTTAGTTTGTGAGTCCGATTGGATTTAAGAGTTAATAATTTCATTACTCAGAAGTACAGTATATTTGTTTATTTAAATGTTTTACACTTTTTTGGGGGATAGAATCTTGCTGTGTAATACAAACTGGGCCCGAATTGTCTCTCCCTTTCTGTACCTCTTGAGTGCTATGGTTTAAGGCAGGTGCCATCATGCCTGGACCAGAAATTCTAATGACTTGAAAAGGCTTGTGAAAGTAGGCCATTTTCCCCTCTATTCATGGCATGAAACCCACTGAAGCCAGTGTGTGTGAGGAGGAGCGACACCACTGAGAACTTACTCGGCCACTGGCGTTTCTTGTCTTCCATGCGTACCTATTATCTGCTCCATCCCTTCTCAGTCCAGGTGGAGCAAATGAGCTGCCCTGGCTCCAGGCTTCTCGTCCTTGCAGAATATCAAACCCAGCACTCCCGAGAGACCCACACACCCTGACAGGGCAGTTTTGCTCACATCCTCCCCTTAAAGCAACCCTAGTGGCGCAGTAAAGACTCACCCTGAATCCTCGGGTGGATAGTTGATTCGGGGAATGGGAGAAGATCAAATACAGACAGGGCTGTTCCTTGAAAAGGGAAGATGCAGGGAAGCGCTAAAAACCTGCATGGGGCCAGTTGCATCTGGCACAATTGCCTGAGCTGGCCCGACTGTGATCGTGGGCTAACCGTGGGAAAGCTCTTCACAACGGAAGCAAGGACTTCAGTAAGCTCTAGGAGATGGCAATCTGAGCATCGGCAGATATGCTAAGACTTGAGCGAGCTCTAGGAGACTGCAATCTGAGCATCGGCAGATATGCTAAGACGATTTCCAGGTGACCAGAGATCACCTTGTGTTTGTTTGGATGTAGCTGAGACTGGGGGCATGTACACCTTTGTTCTTTTACATTTCACAGCCTGTGTTTCAAGCCAGTCAAAGGACTGGAGGGAGAATCTAGATGAACCTCTATGAAGGCTTCATATGTAAAAAAAAAGTGAGGTTTGTTAGTTGTTCTTTTTATATTAGTATGATAAATTTATATATTTAAAATCAATTGTTTAATTAGTTTAGATTTTAAAATGGCTTTGATCTTTAACGTACTCTTATTAGAAGTTTTTGTCAGAGTGCTAAAATAATGCGAGGCAGATACTTAAGTTGAGTTAATGCCTTCTCTTTAACAGTTGAAAATTCTAGCTTGGAGGAGCAGAGCTCTACCGGTAGCTGAGAAGCTTTTGACAGTCAATGGTTGATAGGGAGAAAGAGTACATTTCTTGTGTGAAGTTGCACTGGTGGGTGGTCCAGAGCTAGTAGATGAGCGTTCACACCATTGTGCATTTGAGTCCTAAGTAGATTCCATGGTTATAAAATACAAAAAGAGACACGACTCCAGCCAGGGAAGCATGAACTCTAACTGGAGATCTTCACCTCTCCCTTCTCACCTCCAAATCCAATTCCCCAGTCTCATCCCCTGCTTGGTAGAAGACCTCCTCCCTTCCCCCATCTCAATGTATCACACAGATATTCCCCCTAATTTCCCTCCTCCATTCATTGATTTATCCTAGTCCCTAACTCCAGCAGGCATTTCCTGGGACCTGCAGCCCACTCGGGCCAGCTGAGCAGGTAGGCTAACTGCACATTTTCTCCTCTTCCTTCATTCCTCCAGATTCAATCCCCCAGTCTCATCCCCAGCCCTGTAACAGACCACCCACTTCTACCTCTCACTCTCTGATTCCATTCCCAGGGGACTAGGCAGACCCTGGTGGAGCGCCCTACTTCCCTCCCTTCTGTAGAGGCCAGCAGCACACTTCTGAACCTATCTTCATTCCTAAGTGTCAGCCCCCCAAAACCAAGAAACACATTTTACCTGGAACACCCAATGGTCACAGCTGGCAGGATACCAAAAAAATTCCCTGCCAGGCAACATAAGGACCAGAGAGGGCAACAGGAAGCAAGGAACAAAACACCTACCCAATAAATGCAAGACTAGACATCAGTACCTAGAATTACAATCTTTTCAATCCCAGATGCCTAGAAACCAGCATAAAAACACAATCAATAACAGGCACAACAGTGTGTCTTCACTGGAGTCCAGCAACCCTATCACAGTGAGCCCTGAGTATTGCATCACAGCTGGAGCACAAGAAAAGGACCTTAAAATAGCCTTTGTGAATAGGATAGAGGTCTTTAAGGAGGAAATGAATAAATCCCTTAAAGAAATCTATGAAAACACAAGGAAACAGGGGGAGGAAATGAATAAAACAGTTCAAGACTTGAAAGCAGAAATAGAATTGATAAAGTAAAGTCAAACTGAGGGAAATCAGGAAATGAAAAGCTTAGAAATGTGAACAGGGGGCCTCGGAGGTGAGTCTCACCAACAGAATACAAGAAATGGAGGGGAGAGTCTCAGGCAGAAAAGACATAGAATAAATGGATAAATCGGTTAAAGGAAATGTGAAATCTAAAAGTCCACTGTCACAAAACATTCAGGAAATATGGGACAATGAAAAGACCAAATAATAAAATAATAGGAATAGATAAAGGAGAAGAAACCCAGGTAAAAGGCACAGAAAATATTTTCAACAAAATATTTCCCTAACCTAAAGAAGGAGATGCCTTTCAAAGTATAAGAAGCATATGGAGTACCAAACAGGCTGGGCCAGAAAATAAAGTCTCCTCTGCACATAGTAATCAAAATACTAAATATACAGAACAAAGAAAGAATGTTAAAAGATAAAAGGAAAAGGACCAAGTAACATATAAAGACAGACCTATTAGAATAACACCTGACTTCTCAGTGGAGACTCTAAAAGCCAGAAGGCCCTGAACAGATGTTCTACAGATGCTAAAAGACCACAGATGCCAGCCCAGATTACTATACCCAGCAAAACTTTCAATTACAATAAATGGAGAAAATGAGATATTCCATGGTAAAAAGTACTTAAGCAATCTGTCTACAATCCAGGCCTAAAGAAGCCTCTAGAAGGAAAATTCCAACCTAAAGATGTTAACCACACTGAACATAAGATGAGGAATAAATTGTTCCAGATAACAAAATAAAAACATCACACACACACACACACACACACACACACACACACACACACAAGATAAAAAGAGGAAGCTCAAATACCTGAGGAACACTTGATAAAATGTTCAACATCCTTATTCGTCAGGGAAATGCAAAGCAAAACTACTCTGACATTCCATCTTACACCCATCAAAATGGCTAAGGTGATAAAACAAGTGACAGTCCACACCAGTGAAGAAGTTCAGTAAGAGGAACGCTCACCCATTGCTGGTGGGGCTGCATGCTTACACAGTCACAGTTACACTATAGAAATCAGCGCGGCAATTCCTCAGGAAGATGGGATTCTGTCTATCATAAGACCTCGCTATACTCTTCTTGGGCATATACCCAAAGGATGCTCCATCTGCCACAAGGAAACTTGCTCTACCGTGTTCATTGCTGCTCTCTCCATAATAGCCAGAACCTGGAAATAACCCTGATGTCCCTTGGCAGAAGGATGGTAAGAAAACGTGCTATATTTATACAATGGAGTATTACTCAGCTGTTAAAAATGAAATTTGCATGTGAATGGATGGAAGTAGAAAAAAGATCATCCTGCCAATAGCTAGGGAGCCTGCTTGGGACCAACCTAGGCCCTCTACATGTGTATGTGACAGCTGTAGCTTGGTCTGTCTGTGGCGCTCCTACCAGTGAGATCAGGGCCTGTCCCTGACACTTGAGGTGGCTTTTTGGGAACCTATTCCCCATGGTGGGTTGACTGACCTAGTTTTGATGCAGGGAAAGGAGCTTGGTCCTGTCAGGCTTTAATGACACCCATGGGAGGCCTGCCCCTTCCTGAACAGAGGCAGAGGTGGAGTGGATAGAAGGGGCACAGGGGAATCAGGGGAGGGAATGGGAGGAGAGGAGGGAGGGGAAACTGAGGTCAGTATGTAAATAAATTAAAATGGTAAATAAATAAAATAAAACCTAAAAAAAATCATCTTGAGTGTCCTGGCTGGTTTTGTGTCAACTTGACACAAGCTAGAGTCACCAGAGAGGAAGGAACCTCAGCTAATGGAATTACTCTATGAGATCCAGCTTTTAAGACATTTTCTCAATTAGTGATCAATGAACGAGGGTACCAGGTACCATTCCTGAGCTGGTGTTCCTGGGTTCTATAAGATACCCACAGCTAAACACTGAACTGAACTCCTGGAAACCAGTTGCAGAGAGGGAGGAGTGATGAGCAAAGGGGTCAAGACCAGGCAGGTGAAACCCACAGAGACAGCTGACCTGAACAAGGGGGGAGGGAGCTCATGGACCCCAGACTGATGACCCAGAGGCCAGCACGGGACTGATCCAGAATCCCTGAACGAACGTGGGTGTCAGTGAAGAGGCCTTGGGTACTAGATCAGTATTTATCCCTGGCATCCAAATGGACTTTGAGAGCCCATTGCACAAGGACAGATGCTCTCTCAGCCTGGACACATGGGGGAGGGCCTAGGCCCTGCCTGAGATGATTTGACAGAGTTTGGAGATTTCCCCATGAAGGGCCTCACCCTCCCTGGAGAGTCGAGTGGGGATAGGGTGGGGGGGTTGGGAGGGTTTGTAGGAACCAGGGGAGGAGGGGAGGGAGAGGGAGCTGTGATTGATAAGTGAAGCAAGCTGTTTTCTAATTTAAATAAAAAAGAAAGAAAGAAAGCAGGCCAAGCAAGCCAGGGGAAGCAAGCCAGTAGGCAGCTCCTCTCCATGACCTCTATATCAGCTCCTGCCTCCAGGTTCCTGCCCTACTTGAGTTCTTGTCCTGACTTCCTTCAGTGATGAACAGCAATGTGGAAGTGTTTGACAAATGAAGTCTTTCCTCCCAGTAGAAACCCTAACTAGGGCAAATTGGTACCAGGATGGGGTATTGCTGTGACAGAGGATTGTGGAAGGCCTTTGGAACTTTGGGCTAGAAGAGCCATTGAGTGTTAAAAGCATTTTTGGGGTGTTCTTTGGGAGTTTGGAAGATGAGAATGCTGAGCTTCTATGCAGAAGATGGATGCCTGCCTGATGAAGTTTCAAGGGCAATTTAAAGAGTAACAGGGCCATTTGTTATTTTGAATTAATATTCTGTGGTTCTGGCTGGGTGGGGCTGAAGATTCAGCTGTGATTAACACGATACCAGAACTACCAAAGTGACATTTTTTCTGTTACTGGGACAACTGATGTTGGTCTACTGGAGCTAAGGAATTAGCAGTGATTAAGAAGAGACCAGCATCATTGAGGTGAAATCATCTGGGAAGTGTTTTCTGAAAGCACAGAGAAGCTATATTCCTGAGGGGCCATGGTTGTACCCCATGCTGGCAGACAGACTTGGTCATGTGTGAGAGTCTCCCAGGTGGCACTGGTTTTGATGGCATGAAGGGGTCATGGAGAGCAGCTGAAGCTTGGAATTGAGAGAGACCAGCAGAAGCCATTTTGAAGGTGCAGCCTAAGTGGCAGCTGAAGGCCCAGGACTGAAGGTGTCACGCAGAGAAGTTGAGCTTGGCACCATGAGGAGAGCCTATGGGAGGCTGTTGGTGAAGGTGCAGCCCCGTTGCAGCAAGGGACCCCAGTGTTTTGGAGGTGTCAGAAGCATGGGACGACCTCCAAGACCAGCAGGTATGGAGTGGAGCCAGCAGAGCCTGGAAGACAGGCTGTGTGTGACAGAGAGGGTGGAGCCGAAGAAGTGACCCAAGCCCTTTGGAGGAGTTCAGAATAGTATGAGTGAATCTCAGATAATTGGGCATTGAGTTATTTATACTCTTGGAGTTTGGTTTTGCTTGGTTCAGACTGTGACAGTGTCCTGGTTTTCCCCTCCTGAAGAAGGTATTTAATTTAATGTTTATTTTTAGAGGAGCACACAGATGAAAGCCTTGAACTTTTAAAAGGAATCGGATATTTTAGAGACTGAAATTTTAATGTGTTCAATTTTGCAGAAACGGGGACCTGTAAAATTATGATTTTAATGCGAAATTTTGGGGATGGATAACAAAGGAAGGATTGTGGCTTAATAGAGATGTGTTTGTGTGTCAAGTTAACAAGGGGACAGTTACACTGGCTAGTTTTGTGCACCACCTTGACACAGCTAGACTCATCAGAGAGGAAGGAGCCTCAGCTGAGGAAATTCCCCTATGAGATCCAGCTGTAGGGCATTTTTTCAATTTGTGAACAATGGGGGGAGGGGACAGTCCATGGTGGGTGGTGCCATCCCTGGGATGGAGGTCCTAGGTTCTATAAGAAAGCTGGTTGAAAGCTGGGCGTTGGTGGCACACGCCTTTAATCCCAGCACTCGGGAGGCAGAGGCAGGCGGATCTCTGTGAGTTCGAGGCCAGCCTGGTCTACAAAGTGAGTTCCAGGACAGCTTCCAAAGCCACAGAGAAACCCTGTCTCGAAAAATCAAAAAAAATAAAAAATAAAAAAGCTGGTTGAGCAAACCGCAGGAAGTAAGACAGCAAGCAGCACCCTTCCATGGTCTCTGCATCAGCTCCTGCCTCTAGGTTCCTGCCCTGTTTGAGTTCCTGTTCTGACTTCCTCCAGTGGCAGACTATGATCTGTAAGCTAAATAAACTCTTACCTCCTCAAATTATTATTTTTTATTTTTGCCATGATGTTTTGTCACGGCAATAGAAACTATAACCAACACACTGAGTGAGGTAACCCAGACCCCAAAAGACAAATATGGTATGTATTTGCTTATATGAGGATAATAGTGTAAAGTCAGTGTTAACCAAGCTACAACCCCTAACAACAACAACAACAAACACAGGAAACTCAGACACAGCTGGCTATCTCTAGTCACAAAATAGAGCTTCCAGTAATGGATTGGGTTACATATAACTGAGTTGTTGGCCAAAGGGGTCAAATGGGAATTCCTAAACAACCCAGGCTTTTGCCAAGGGTGTAGGTTGCTCTCTATAAACTCACAGCAAGGCCTCATTGCTGTAGACAGCAGCTACACAATTCATTGAACATGGAGAAGTTGAGCTGGTTCCTGTGTGGAACATTTATCCTTCCATGTTAGTGTCTTTCTAAAAGATTATTGTTATTTTATTTTTTTATCCATTTTATTTTGTGTTGTTTTAAATTTCATTTTACATTCCAACCACAGTTCTCCCTCCACCCCTCCACCTCCCTCCCCAACCAATCCCCTCCATCTACACCTCTCACACGTTAGCGTCTTTGCTACTCTGCATGTTACCAAAGGAGAAATGTAATCACCAACCCAGCCACAAAACCTTCGATCTTCAATGGTATCCTGTCTGAAAGGTTTGCTAGTGCAGTGGTGGCATGAAGCTTGTGGGTGTAGCCGACCAATACCTGATTTGACTCGAGGCCCACTCCATGAGATGGAACCCATATCCCACACTGCTTGGGTGACCGGGTGACCAAGAACCTGAGACTAGATATCCCAGGGACCTAGGAGAAAACCAGATGCTAATGTTCTAAAAACTAAAAACAACAAAAAAGTAGTAATAAAATGACTCCTAATGACATTCTGCTATACTCACAGATCAATACCTTGCTCGGCCATCATCGGAGAAGCTTCCTCCTGTAGCACATGGGAACACAAACAGTAGAGGCCACAGCCAGACGTTATGCAGACAGTGAGAGGCCTTGGAACACTCAATCCTAAAAGGGATATCTCCATCAAATCCTTCCCTTCAAGGCTCAAGGAACTTGCTGTGGAAGAGGCAGAAAGAGTGTAAGAGCCAGAGGGAACGGAGGACACAAAGAAAACAAGGCCCTCTAAGACTTTAGAACTTAAAGGAGAAGTGGACACATGCCCTCATCCCTAACCCAGAAGCAATCTCCAACTGATAGTCACTTGCAAATGAGAATTTAGTTTTCTCCAAGAGAGTCTCACAGGAAGAAGAAAACTACTCTTAAGCTCAGGCTGCATGTCCAGCAGTAGATGTCAACAGTAATGACATCTTTGGAGGTTCCTTGTCTCTCAATGTCATTTCAGGGCTCTGCCACCGCCCCTTTTAAAAATTTTTTATCTTATGTGTGTGTGTGTGTTTATTTTTATCCTACAGTTTTTCGTTTTGCATATGGAGCATGGCATCCAGTTTAGTTGTTTCTTCTCTTGGGCTCTTTTTATTGTTTGTTTTGTCCAATTCTGAAATTTAGTTTTTGTTTTATCTAGTTATATTTTATTGTCTCTTAGAAACACATTTGTTTTCTAGTGAAAGACCAAAAGGGAAGTGGGTTTTTAGTGGGAGGGGAGGTGGAGAGGAGTAGAGGGAGGGGAAACCATGATCAAGATATATTATGTAAGAAAAAAAATCTACACAATAAAAGAAAGAAAAAAGAAGAGGAGGGGACGAGTTAGAAAGGAAAGAGATGTGTTGGGTTGGAGTCAAGGTGGCTTGGAGGGAGGGAGTAGGGGGTGGATATGCGTGAAATTTTTGAAGAATAAATACTCAATTGGCTTGACTCCTAAAAAGAAATATTTATGATGACTTAAATAAAAACAATATTACATATTGATATATATGCATACTCAAATGGAGACACACTTTAGTGACAATGGGATTTTTGAAAAGAAATGTAGCTTTTACTTTATGTGCCTGAGTGTTCTGATTGTGTCTGTGTACCATGTGTAGTCAGTGCCTACTACAGAGGCCCAAAGATGGCATCGGATCCCCTGTGACTGGAATTGCGGGTGGTCGTGAACTGCCACGTAGGTGCTCGGATTTGCATCTGGGTCCTCTTAGCTTTGGAGCTTTCTCTCCAGCCCCTTTAATCACAACAAAAATAACTATAACAATAAATGCATTTATCTTATATGACAAATATGACATACCATTCTACAAACAAACTGGGTTTTACTTTATTGTTTTTTTAAATAAATAGATGTTTTTAAAGATGAAAACTGGGATAATATAAATTTTTTTCCTTCGGTTTAAAATCTTTCACTACATTTCAATGTGGTGTCCCTGTATCTGTATGTTCACGTGTGTGCGTCCCTCTGTGTGTATACATGCTCATGTCTGCCAGTGCCTGTGACACAGTACATGTGTAAGGGTTAGAAGAAGAGTCCAAAGTAGAATCTCTTCTTCCTGTGTGTGGGGAGGTAATCGGTATTGGCAGCCAGCTCTCTTGCTCACTCAAGTCATTTTGCTGGTCAATCAGTTCTTTCTTGCAAGAAAAGAATCACCATCCAAATGGAGGCAGCCCCTCACTCTCCCAAAAGGCTAAAGAAATCAGAGGCAGATAACTGCAATGATGTTATTAGATACTTTCAGCAAAAAATGCATTCAAACTATCAGGAGAATGGTTTAAAAAAACACCAAAATTTATTGCTATTTTATAGATTTGAAAGGTTTTTTTTTTGTATTTCGTGTATTTGTAGACATTACAATTAGTGAAGGCTGACTGAGAAGTTACATGGTTAAAAGATTAAAAAAAACAAACTAGAGATCCTATTAAGCTTATTAGAAATTTCGTTACTAATTATTTCAGATGGGGTATGGTATTCATCATGTCTTCTTGAGATAAACATGTGGTTCTTGCAGGCTCTCCAAGGTAGATGCTGCATTGCTCTGAGTTAAAAGAACAATAGGCACGAGTGTATTACTACAATGCCCCTATTACTAGGCTGTTGGCCAATCACCCGGCATCCACTGGCAAGCTCTATTGTGCTGTAACTTGGTGTCTGCATTAGGACAACAGTCTGGTTCACAGCTGACCAGACTGGGGTGGGTGGTGTTTCACTAACAGAGCTGGTCTGACCTAGCCAGCTACTCTAGCAAAAAATGTCCTATGAGAATCAGTCTGTTCTCACAGGGAGGGGCATGTTCCAACCACACAGTTGATCGTTCTTGGGTAAGCAGTCCAAGTGTTAGGGGAACTGACATAACACCGTGTGAAATCAGCTTGGGCCGGTTTCTCCTGGACGCTTCCAATTAGAAGCCTGATTGTTGAGTTATAGAGGGTCTGGGAGAGAGGGCAACCTGGATAGTCAAACCTCTCTATGGCCAGAGGGGGTGCTTAACATCTGCTTCTGCCCAGTCCCTATTTTGTGGAGCCTGCTGTGTCTACTTAGCTTGTAGTCCTTGCCTAGGCCCCTGGAGCTCCTCATGATCTACCAACACACGGGTAATTCCTAGGAACAGAGGACTGGGGGCCTTGGCATCTGCTGTTGTATCTGTTCTGCTTGGCCAGTGCTGTGTGCTGAGAGTTCTGACTCTAGAATATGTTCCTCTGGACAAACAGCCAGTGAAACTTCATGAGACGGAAGACCCAAATTAAAAAATCTCGGTGAATGAAAATAGAGGACCCTGTGCCCAAGGGAAAGCCGAGTGACCTTCCAGAGAAGTCAGGTCCCCATGCCTCCGGAAGGAGAGTCTCATTACTGCCTGTGAAGCCGTTTGTCCTTATTATTCCCTCCTCCACTTTTGGAATCGGCTCTGTTTACAATTCTTTGTCGGGCTCAGAGCAGTTGCTCTCCAGTTCCATGGCGGAGCATTTCTGCTAATGAGCATATGCCGGAAACGTGTGGGTAGAAAAACAACCCACCCACTTTTGAGCTTATTTTAGAGGATGCAAACATGAGAAAATGAAAATTAATTAATGAACAAATTAAGAAAAGTGCCAAGGATCCTAAATTAGGGCCTCGTATTTGTTTATTTTCCCCTTTTGACCTAGAGTCCTTTCTATGCTTCAATTGTGTCTTCATTGATTTAAAGTAGCTTCCTATTGCTCTGGACATAAAATCTTCACCTGCTGTTATGACCTCCATTGTTCTGATCCATGGCCAGGGATCAGATCATGGAACAGGCCGGTGTTGTCTCCAGTCTGACCTGAGGTTGCTCTTGGTCTCTTGTTCTGCAGGACTCGCCCCGAGGAGCTCCCTCAGCAGGTTCCTAGCTTCTGTACATGCTGGCCCCATTGCTGCAAATACACTCCCACTCCTGCCACCTCCCTGTTCTTACTCCATCATTCGTTTCTCTAGGGATGGTGTTGGGGGTCCCACATGTGTGGTTCTTACAGGCGCTGTGTGATGTGTGGGTCTGTGGTTCTAGTTGCTAGTTGAAATTGTGGAAACTTTGATTGTCTTACTCATTCAGAATGCATGCTAGCCAAGGCAAGGACTTCTGCTGGCTGTCAGCATCATTACCCAGTGGGCAGAAGTAGTAGAGTCTAAGAGGCATTGTAGAGCCACTGGTCTCAGCGGCTGAAGTGTTCAGTCCTGACTTCTGGAAGTAACTGCCCACACTGTGGGTCTTGTATATGTTAAAATAATGAAAAACGAGCCTGGTGGTGGTGGCGCACGCCTTTAATCCCAGCACTCGGGAGGCAGAGGCAGGTGGATCTCTGTAAGTTCGAGGCCAGCCTGGACCGACAACCTCCAAAACAATACACAGAAACCCTGTCTTGTAAAACAATAAATAAATAAATAAATAATGAAAACATGTAAAATTAGCTTAGAATGGAGCTTGCTGCATAAGGAATATTATGCATGTGTTACTATTTGCATCTTTAATTTTGGAAATTACAATACAGGACACTAGGCCCTGCTGCTCCAATGGCTTATCAACCTTTATTATGTAGAGCAATATCCTGCTTGTTGTTGGCACTCAGGAATAGATATTGAGTTAGTGTGTTTTGCTCATTTATATTCTTTCTTCTTAAAGCTGACCAGGCTTTAAAAATATGTCTGGAACTAGGATTTAATGATGGTAGTGGCACTAACCAAGTAGGCATGCCAGGAAGTCACATGGCTACCCTCCCATCGAGACTGCCTTGGTTCTGGGATGGATGGGTAGAGTTTCCTTATGCATCTGGAAACTTGTCTGCCCCTTCTTCCTACTGGCCACTTAGAGGAGCAAGGATTTTGGAAACAGAGAGGGAGAGATATTTCTGAGTCCTTCTGGTACCCTGGGACTTAATTTCATCTCTAGGCCTGAGGTGTGTTCAGATCACAGATAAGAGGACTCTGAGAAATTATTAAATCTCACTGCTTTAATTAAATGCTCCTCAGCTGACTAATAGCAACAGAAGAGGTGCAAACTTGAATTCACTCTGCACTTCTTAGGTGTTAACGTTGCCTGAATATGAAAATTAAGCACTAGTGGTTTTTCTCACTTAAGAAAAAATAGAATAGAACAAAGTAGAGGATGTATAGATGGGAAATTTCAGAGATACCACCAACACCATTAAAAATTCTCAAAGAGAGAGCTATAATTAGGTGAAAAATCTCATTTTATAATTTAGAACTTTTTTTCATTTACAATGTTGAAGTCTCAGTCACATTGAATTTTCTTTCTAACCCAGATATCATTTAAATTGGTTGTCATAGCTGGTATTGATATGACCATACTTGGGGAGGTCAGTTCTTTTTCTTCCTGGCTGAGTGAGGTAGTGCATTACAGAGACCCTCCTCTGTGACCCTCAGCTCTGCCCCCTCCTCTGCAAACCAGTCTCTGCCCCTGCTTGCCTCAGAGTCCCACACGTCTGTTTACAAGGCAGGGTGCTCACTCAGCAAATATTTAATAGTCAACATAATGTATAGAATGTAGGAAACATAATTAACTTAGATAACTGTGGATTATAACATACAATGACACTTTAATATGTGAGAAAATATATTTGTCTAAGACTTGAGAAAATACAGTTTATAATATATCCCCTTATATGAAAAGAAAACAACCAAGAAAGTTAAAATCTATACTTTTCATAAAGACTCCTTCACGCATCTGTACTTAGACATAATTGACAAATAAACATTGAAAACAGTTAAGTACACAATGTGAAACTTTAATATATGTTGCCAAATGTCTCATTCTAATTAGTTAACATACCTTATAATGCCTATTTTTTATGTGATGAGAAAACTCAAGTTCTATTCCTGGCAAATTTCAAATGCAGTACAGTTTTATTAACCAGAATCAGGCTGTTCAGGAGGTCTCCAGAGTTTACGTCCCCAACATACCTAAATCTTTATACCCTTTGGCCGACACATCTTCACCTTTGCCACCCGCTACCTGGAAATCATCATTGTACTTTCTATTTCTAAGACTTCAACATTCCACTCCCCCCCCACCACATACAAGTGAGAGCAGGAGGTGTTTGTTTTACACAGCACAATGTTCAGGCTCATTCATGATGTTGTAGTGATAGTATTTACTTCCTTTGGAAGGCAGTTGTGCTAATCACCATATGACAAATAAATTGTGAAGTTCCTTCTTTTAAAAGGCCAAATAAAATTACAGTGTGTGTGTGTGTGTGTATGTATGTGTGACCATGCATGTCTGTGAATATGTATTTCTATCTCACATTTATTTACTTGTCTATCAATAGATATACTTAACTATGTAAGTCACCAAGCATGATTCTATAATGAACAATGGGCTGAAGATACCTCTTTCAAATATTGGTTTCCTTCATTTGGAAATATCTCAGGAAATAGAGTCAAACGGATAAAAAGTCGAAGGCCATCATTGGCTGCACAGAGTGAGCATAGCCTGGAATACATGAGACCATGTTTCAAAACAGAAAAAAAGGAGCTTCACAAAATGATACGGTAGTTTTACTTTTCATTTTTGAGACATTTCTATACAATTTAGCATAATGACTCTACAAATACATTCTCACCAACCTTGACCAAATTCCTTTGGCCAGGTCCTTATTGATGGCTGTTGTCTTTTGTCTTCTGGATAATATTCATTATATTAGGTATGAATTGATTTCCTATTGCAGTTTGGATGCATTTGCCTAATAATTAGTGCCACCGAATATGTATGTATGTATAACTTCACCTTTAATGCATATTTTGTTAGTCATAAATCCCATTCTGCACATATTACAGTGTTTGCACTAAGCACTAAAACTATAAACTCATCTGTATATTAATATTATGCTTACATATCC